AAAAATAAAAACATCATCGTTTTCTCAAAATCACATAAAGTCATATTATAACATCGACTGAGATAAAGAATAAAATGAAATATTAAAATCATGATGTATCTCGCTGCATTGTGCGAGTACGCTTCTAGTATTAATTAATAATTAATAGTAATTGTTAATTTATTAATATTAAAAATTTATAAACAAATTAATATTTAATAATAATAAATGAAAATTAGTAGTAATAACACGTATAATTGAAAGAAAGTGTCAAAAAGCTACTAGAGCTAGTCAGCTAGTCTATATCAACAGCAGAATATTTCTTCTAAGAATAAAAAATAAGCTAGCATGTTAGTTAGCTTATGGTTGCAAAATATAGCCTCAATTAAAGGACAATGAAATCATGAAAAAAACCGTAACTGTTGGCATAAGAAATGTGAAACAAACTATCAGTATGCTACCAATTTTTTCGTGCTCCAAATCAATTTATGAAGAACATAGTGAAGGAGAAGAGCGGGTTACAAAGTTCAGGAGAGAAATATCTAACGGCAGTTGACTTATTTTTATCCTTTTTAATTGAAAAATATCATCTAAGGTGACGTGTTGGATCAAATACGATCGAAGGTTGAGATTCGTCCCCGAGTTTCTAATATATTTGTGGTTCATATTTCAGCATTCCCATTTATATGGTTGGATTCTCATGAAAATGAATTTTTTGGTGAGAACGTGGGAACAAATTCTTCATTTGCAAATGATTTTTTGGTGAGAAGGTGAAGATGAAGGTTGACGGATGTAAATGAAGATAAATGTAGGTAGTTGAAGGTTGATGTTTTTTGGTTAGATATCATTTAAAGGTAGCTAAAGGTGTGTTTTTTTAGCTCTTAGATAAAAAAAACCAACTCATTCAAAAGTTCAGAAGTTCATTCTTGCCAAAAACTCTTATACTCACATTATCCTAACTAACTATCTCTCTCTCTCTCTCTCTCTATATATATATATATATATATATGCACACACACATGCATGCATATACATATATACATACATACACACACACACACACACATATATATATATATATATATATAGGAGGTTAATTATTTTATAACCCACAAAACTGTAAAAGAACAATGTATCAAGTATTAATTAACATATATTTATTTTACAATAATATGTTTGTTTCGCAATGTGAAACTATTTTACTTATTTATAAATATATGTTAATAACAGGACACGTCCGATGGTTTTGGATGCCTAAGCAGAGAGTCAAAATAGTGCCCCTCTCTCCCTTTGCTATTTCATTATTCGGGTTTGATTATTGATTCTTGTGCTTAGATGATGTTATTACTAGCCATTACAAACTATTTCCATCTAATCTTGATATTGAAATATAGTTCTTTTTGATCTTGGGGTGTTTACGGGTAATTTATAGGTTTTATAGTTCAACATATAATTGAAGCAAATTACGCATCTATTTTACCCATAATAAAACAAAATAGGCTCCATGAAGCCATAACATCCTAGTGGTTTTATCATGACTCATCATGGGACATGTTTCACCTAAGAAGTATTACTGTTTCAAAAACTAAACCAAAACAGATGTACAAGTTATCATCACCAATATTTTATGTATGCCTCATAATAAAATGTGTGATGATTTAACAATCGTATCGATGAAGAAACCAAAATTTTATTCGTGTGTGAGGAATTTGTAGGGATTTTCAAAAGTTCCGAATTTGGATTCGTATTCGATTCCCCAATTTACCCTTAATGGCATTTTTTTGGAATAACACTGGTTTCTCATTTTGTTTATTTTTTAATTGCCACCATATAACTTTAGGCCATTGATCAATATGAAGGAGCGTTGAGGATGGGTTTGTAGGAATTAGGCGGTTTGTATTGATGGGGTCATAAGTAAGTTATTCATCATGAATAACCTTTAATTATTCATGAATATCAAACATTTTTATTATTCATGAAATAATTCATTTTGATCATAAGTATCAGGTATTTTTTTTTCTTCATAACATTCATTATTAATAATTTTCGTTATTTATGGTTATTCATCATGAATGACCAAATGTTTCAGGTGTTATTCATGATGAAAGTTTTCATTTGAACCCAACTATGTATATTTGTGTATGTATGTATTCAAATAGAAACAACAAAAGAGATGGAAACATGGAAAAACAAAAAAAAAGGATGAAATAGTTTAACAATATGATTGTCAAATAAGGAGAAAAATAACATAGGCAAACATTAGAACTTAACAAATTATATTAAAACACAAGTTTTAAGTTTTTTCTCTTTAATTCGACGTTCATGTTATTATAATTTTTCACTAATAATTGTTGTGCATTCACATGTGATCATATATAGGATCACATACACAATCAAATGTGATAATACATAAAATAGATACGACAAGGATGTCATATTATACACAATTACATATTATTGTGTATATGATTAAAGGTGGTTGTAAGTATGATCACACGTTATCATGTATTGGATCATCAATATACATGCACTAACTGATGTCATATTGTATACAATCACATGTGATCATGAATCGTTATAATTTGAACATATGCATGATCATAGTATTGTATAGGACAAATTGCAAGAAAATATAACATACTTTGTCCTAAATTTTAATTTGGATAACGTATTTTCAAAACCTTTATCTTAGTAATTAGGAGGTAAAATCTCAAACGATTAAGTATATGGAACATGAGAGATTTATCACCATCATGATGGCCTAAGATTGGTACAAACGGGGGCACTTTAGAGGACGTACGGACTCATACCATTTTTAAAGTAAAGATCATGGTGAATTATATATACGACTCTAGTTTATTTGAAAGGTTGTGGGATTATAGAGTTGAAGAGGAAAGAGGAGAAGTGAAGGCTAAAACTTCATTTAAGAGTGAGAAGGAAATAAATATGCATGTATTAATTTCAATATTTTTGGAGTAGCTGGTAAGTACCATTTAAAGATTAACAAGTACATGAAGAAGGTGGTCAATCAACCTTATATCATCAATCGTCAATTCAAATCCAGACGTCTGTTTTTAAATGAGTTGGATATTACAACATAAAACTCGATAGAATTCTTGTTTAGAAAGGTGAGTTTTTAAAAAAAAATGTATTCTTATACAAGTGACATTGGTGTCACAAATTCGTTTCTTTCTCCAATCAAAAAAAGTGGTGAAAGACCGTTGCAAAATATTACATATCGTGTTAATCAGTTTTACATATGATCGTTTGTTTATGTATGATACAATGGTTAAAAATTAACAATCATATGATAGTATTGAAATTCTTTTAAACATATCTAATAAAGTTTTTTTTTTATTTAATTGTTATTGTATAGTTTAATTTTAGTATATTATTTAAATCCAAAAGTTTGTTTTTACTATTTTTCATATGATTTAAATAGACATATTTACAAATTAATCTTAACGTTTTATATGGTATTTTAATAAAGAAAATACAAATCATCCCTCATTAATTTCATATTCTCTGCTGCTTTGACTGTTGCCTATATGAGTCAACATTCAACAAGAAAAAGTTCTTCGAGCATCCAACAAACAGAGATGATGCAAACCGTTCAAATGAATTAATTGAAATATTTGAAATCCTGAATGACTCCAGATTGTTTTTACACCCATTTCTCAGCCATGGTCAAACCCCATACCTCCTATAAATAGGCCTAAAATGAATTCAAGAAAAGCTCATAACCGCGATAAAGATTACGATACGGACACCAGTGAGCAACATGAACCCGAAGGATGTCGGAAGGCAAAGCCACCAGCTGCTGAACCATCCCCGTGCTCCGCCTTCAATCCCTCCTCCAAGTTGTCCTCGCTGCTCCTCTGATCGCACCAAATTTTGTTACTATAACAACTACAGTGTGTCGCAGCCACGCTATTTCTGCAAGGATTGCCGCCGTTACTGGACACATGGTGGAGCCCTTAGGAACATTCCTAGCGGTGGAACCAGCCGCAAGCGGGGTAGGACTGATGTGGCGTCTTCATCTTCACAAATCTTGCAGTCACCTTCCTCAAGAAACTTGCTTCCATCACCACCACCACCACCACCACCATTAGCATGGAGCTTGGGTTCATCTCCTGATAACACTTCTGGTACCGCCGTTGCCAGGTCCAGCATTGGTCGTGGCACATTTAGGCCACCGGTCACAGAAACCATGCAATACTTCAATGGTGGTGGCTTTGTCAACCAAACACCTTTCAAGTTTAGCCCAGGTGGTGATCAGTTAGGTGGTGTGAACACGGCATTTGGTGCGGTTAGCATGGGGTTTGGGGGTGGAGATCCTTCACCACCACCAGTTCCATCAACACAGTCGTTGCCTCAGTTCTCCCCATTGGACAATTTTCTTGATGTTGGCTTTCCTTTTCTTCAACGACCACCGCAGCACCCACCACCACCTACCGTATTGGGAAGTCAAAACATGGGCCTTAACAACGCCAGAACAACAATCACCGGCTCCAATTATTTCCAGTCCGTAGCTAGGGATGCAACTGCAGCTGCACATGTAGTCAGCATCGACGAGTGGTCTGAACTCAATGATATGGACAATGAGGGTGACCCTTTCCAAAGCTACAAGCCACCATCTCCTTGAATATTCCATATTGCTTTCAGAACTAGACATCCTTACATTTAGAATAGGAAATTAATTCAAGGTTTGCTTTTAGGAGAGAGAGAGAGAGAGAGATTTCATTTCTTAGCTTATATATAGAATTTCTTGGGTAGCATTTATGGAGGATTCTATGAGATACAGATTTACAAATGCAATTCAGTACCTCTTTTTCTATTCCGTTTTATTTTGCATTTAGAAATTGAGATTTTCTTACGATAATATATATTCCTTGTTGTTTTTGCCACTTTCTCAAGGATGGTCTTGAGGGTGTTATGCTTTAGCAACTCTACAATTGATGATGTATTTTTGTAGAACTGTCTTCATGGTTTACAAAATGGGTATCTCATCACTAATGATAGTTATAGGAGTATCAAATCTTGTCGCTACTAGAAAACAAAGTATCAGCAACGGAAATTAGCGACGGAAAAAATCCCTTGCTGATCAGCGAGGGATTAACGAGAAAACTGGTTTTTGGCCAATTCCCTCGCTGATCTGCGAGCAAACTGGTTTTTGCCCTTTCTCTCGCTGATCCCTCGCAGATCAGTGAGAGATCAGCAAGGGAACTGGTTTTTGGCCAATTCCCTCGCTGATCTGCGAAGGATCAGCGAGAGAAGTGGTTTTTGACCATTCCCTAGCTGATTAGCGAGGGAACTGGTTTTGGGTCTTTCCCTCGCTGATCCCTCGTAGATCAGCGAGGGATCAACGAGGAAACTGATTTTTGGCCAATTTCCTCGCTAATCTACAAGGAATCAACGAGAGAAGCGGTTTTTGGCCATTCTCTTGCTGATCAACGACGGATCAACGAGGGAACTGGTTTTTGGCCAATTCCGAGGGAAGCAAGGGATCATTCCCACTACCGCTGGTAGGTCAACTGCTCGTGAGCATGATGGGGACGAGCTTCCCAAAAAGCCCATTACGCCCCAATAAAATGGATCAAGGCCTAATAAAACGAATAAAGCCCAATATAGCCCAATAAAATTGAATAAAGTTCAATAAAATAGATTAAAGCCTAATAAAACCGAATAAAGCTCAATGAAACCATTTAAGAATAAATAAAACCGAATAAAGCCCAAACAACACACACATATTATCTATAAATTCACATATACACATACATTTAAACATATATACATCATACGATACATATATCTTCGACAATATATACATAGATCCAATCGTGGTTAACAACCAACAAACATATATACATATTCGTGTATACATATGTATATAACACATGCCAACGGGTATATATACATATAACATAAACATGTATACATATAACATACATCGTGGTTATCAACTGAAACACACATACACACAGACAGACACACATAGACACACACACACACACACATATACATATGACACCTACTTATAAACATGTATACATATAACACATAAAAAATGAGAAAGTAAGAAAAATAGGATAATCCCTCACTAATCCCTCGCTGATCTGAAAACTGGCCAAAAACCAGATCCCTCGCTGATCAGTGAGGGTTCAGCGAGGGAATGGCCAAAAACTAGTTCCCTCTTTGATTAGCGAGGGAACTGGCCAAAAACCAGATCACTCATTGATCAGCGAGGGTTCAACAAGGGAATATCCAAAAAGCAGCTTCCTTGCTGATCAGTGAGGGATCTGGTTTTTGGCCAATTCCCTCGTTGATTAGCGAGGGATTGGCCATTCCCTCGGAAAATCCTTCATTGAATTTCACTTAAAGAAAAAGGTCTGGCCGACCCTTTCTGTTTGCGGCTTCTTTCTGTTTTAATCGACTTTTTGTTTCAGACGAGAGAGGAGAAGACGAGATCGTGGATTCTTTCTGTTTCAATCGAGAGAGGAGAAGACGAGATCGAGATAGGAGACGCAGAGAGAGATGAACATAACCACCACCTCACTGTCGCTGATTGTTTGCTACTTCTTTTTGTTTCAATCAAGAGAAGAGAAGACGAGATTGAGAAAGAAGACACAGAGAGAGACGACGACCACCACCACCTCACCATCACCGGCTGTTTCAGCACCAGAGCCTCACTGTTGCAGACTGTTTCAGCACCATAGCCTCACCTTGCCAACCACCGTCACTGTCACCACCACCGTTGCCGAGCACCATCACCTTCACCACCACCTCACCGTCGCCGACCACCATCTTAAGGGGTATAAGTTTTCTCTTTTCACAAATTGGTAATGTGGTTTATTTTCTTTAACAAATAGATATCCTAATTTCTTTTATCTTGGGTTGAAATCCTAGTAAAGCATGGAGGTTAATGGTGGATTTGTTGATGGGGCTTTCAGAGATGTTTATTATTAACAAATCACTATTACAAATGTTATAGTCATCAACCGAAATTCAGTGACAACAAATCTTTCGGTGAGGTCAGGGATGAATTTTCTTTAACACCACATTTGACCATTTCAATTTGATAAGGTTAGGGATGAATTTTATTTAAATCGGTATAAGGAATGAGTTTGATTTTCCCATTTCAATTTCTTGTTTAGAGATGAGTTGTACAAAGTTATGAAATGTAGTAAACTTAAAATTTAAGTAAAATCGATATTCTTGTTTGGATCAAATGCTTTATAACATATTATAGATATTCTTGTTTTGTGTGTATATATGTATAGTGTTATAATTTATATGATAATAATCTGTAAAACCATCTTTAGTTCAGTTAGTTCACAAGTTGCATGAATGTGTCATTTTTGCTTCAAATGAGTTTAACCTACTTTGTTATTTGGTTCAAAACTTATGTTATTATTAGTTGGGTTGCCAATTGTTGGGCAAACATTAGACTTGATTTTATTCATTTGTAGTTGGGTTTTCAATTATTAGGCAAACATTAGTTTTCTTTATTTGTAGTTGAGTTGCCAATTATTGGGCAAACATTAGGCTTAATTCATTTAAAAATATTCATTTTATAGTCGTTATGCTGCCAAAATTTTTAAAAGAATAGGCTTCTCAACTCGTTCAAACTGTTACACTAAGAATTTTAAAGTCATACAAAACTCCTCTAAACCTACGGATTGACTTTCTAGAAGTCAAAACCTTACATGTAGATTTCTAAACTCATTCAAAAGACATCCAACTTCATTCATGTTGGGTTATGGGATCTCAAGCACAACGGAAATTAAAACCGTAACCCTCCAAGGACTCATACGAACCGGAATAAATCGGGTGTTTCGAAATTATACCTCACAGTTAGCGAAAYTTTGAATCACAACAACAAACAAAGCTTGATGCCTCCACGGTATCCACGCGAACAATCCAAATCCTTTGCCTTCTCGTGATGCTAGTCACGGTTTCAAAACTTAGAAAGAAAAGAGAGMATATTGTTGTAGATGATTTTAAGAGAGAATTGCAAGACTCAAAAAAACACTAGCATAAAAATGTCATACATTTTAAGAGAGCATATTGTTGTAGATGTATGGCCTAACCATCACCATACCTCCACCATGCCTCCATCATGCTTGAGTGTAAGACCTTCACACACCATCACTCTCTTACATAGCCATCCCTAGTCATCTTTATTTATGTCCAACATAAATAATATCTGATTTTATTTAATCAGATTAAATCGATACAAATCAGATATGATAATTAAACATTTTAATTATTGAAACTCCTTATTCGAATATGTTCAAAGCGTGTGACCCAATGGGTTCTCGACATGTTGGCAATAAATATAAATCTCATATTTATAGTTATAAACGATGAGCGGTATCTAGCAATACATCACCGTTACCTAAATGACGAGAATTGGTGATACAACAAATTATCGGTTTGTAGTCAATTTTWGTTTTACATATTTAATTCTTTTGTCCTTGATGTCCAGATTGAACACGAGACATTGAATGTGTCATTCTCGTTATATCGAATCTCTAGTTTCTTGATTCCTTAACATACTAATAAAAATAGATAATGATATCTCATATCCATTATCTGAGTATGCATGCATTTATTTAGTATATATTTATCAAGGGGCCCAGAGACATCACTCCCGTCATAAAGGAGAGACAAATCCTATCTCGATACATGCTAATTCTATCATGTGATATGCAACATACCAACTATCATTCTGTCACCCAGTTATGGAATGATTAGAATAAATGTCAAAATACATTACTCACACATAACAAACTCCATGTTCTCAAGTCAAAGAATTACATGTACATTGACCATATGAGAAACACTTATAACACTCACATGACATCCAATGAAGTGTTCTCATAACGAGTCACGTCCGATACACAAAATCTTCATTTTGTACCCATATGCAGATTCGATATCTCWATWTGAATYCHTAYATATGCTAGTCATTATCATATTACTTCAACCTTAAACCCGAAATAATATTTAACTAGGGACATTTAGAATACATTATTTTAAGGTTATTTATTATGAATAATTAAAACACAAAATATAATATAGACATAATAAAATGGGCAATGCCTTTTGATTTATTAATTTCATGAAACAAAACTCAAAGTTACAATCATCATATGATTGGTTTTTGAGCATTCACTAACAATCTCCCACTTGCACTAAAGCCAATCATCCATGCGTCGTATACTAATGGATCTACAGTGGCCTTCATGCTTCTGCTGTGTTAACGGTTTCGTTAGTGGATCAGCAACATTGCTTTCGGTTGACACTCTACTTATATTAACATCGCCTCTTTCAATAATATCTCTAATGAGATGATATCTTCTAAGAATATGTTTGGATCTTTGGTGAGATCTAGGTTCCTTGGCTTGCGCTATAGCTCCATTGTTGTCACATAACAACTCTAGAGGACTAACACTACTAGGAAGAACACCAAGTTGAGAAATAAATTTCTTGATCCAAACGGCTTCCTTGGCTGCATCTGATGCTGCGATGTACTCAACTTCTGTTCTAGAATCAGTTACTGTTGCTTGTTTGGAACTCTTCCATCTCACAGCACCACCATTAAGGCAAAACACAAAACCCGACTGTGATCGAAAATCATCT